CTGGAAATAGAACTGCCATATGACCCAGCAATCCCACTTCTGGGCATACACACCAAGGAAACCAGATCTGAAAGAGACATGTGCACCCCAATGTTCATTGCAGCACTGTTTATAATAGCCAGCAATGGAAGCAACCTAGATGCCCATCAGCAGACGAATGGATAAGGAAGCTATGGTACATATACACCATGGAATATTACTCAGCCATTAAAAAGAATTCATTTGAATCAATTCTAATGAGATGGATGAAACTGGAGCCCATTATACAGAGTGAAGTAAACCAGAAAGATAAAGACCATTACAGCATACTAACATATATATATGGAATTTAGAAAGATGGTAACGATAACCCTATATGCAAAAAAAGAAAAAGAGACTCAGATGTATAGAACAGACTTGTGGACTCTGTGGGAGAAGGTGAGGGTGGGATGTTTTGAGAGAACAGCATCGAAACATGTATATTATCTACAGTGAAACAGATCACCAGCCCAGGTTGGATGCATGAGACAAGTGCTTGGGGCTGGTGCACTGGGAAGACCCAGAGGGATTGGGTAGTGAGGGAGGTGGGAGGGGGTATCGGGATGGGGAATACATGTAACTCCATGGCTGATTCATGTCAATGTATGACAAAACCCACTAAAATACTGTAAAGTAATTAGCCTCCAATTAATAAAAATAAATTTAAAAAAGAATATAATTAAATGTATTCTGGTTGTTAATGTTCTGGATGCAGCAGGGGCAGTGGACTTGGGTCTGGATTGGGACTCTTGCTTCACTCCTCCCAGTGATCTCACCTGGGTTAGTGGGATACAAAAGCATCCACAGCACATGGTTGTTTTAACACTGCCCATGGAAAGACAGTAAATATTCATACAATTTACTCAATACAAAACTAAAATTTTGTCTATAAGAAAAAAATTCTTAAAATAATGAGGATGGAGCAAGGGTTGTTACTATTCTGTCACATTTGACTCTTTGTGGAGGGGGGTGCGGGGTGAGTATCCGTGCTCCTTGTGCCCACTTCCAGCAGTAGCCAGGGAAGTGTTCCAAAGAACTAAAGCAGTGTTTTTGCCCAATTTTGATTTCACAGATGGAGTACTGAGACTTAGGAAAATTAACTGCCTCGTTCAAGATCAAAGAGCAAACTATGGGAATGCCAGGACTGCATCTCAGGTTTCCTTTTCTCAAAGCAGAGAGTTTTCCACAGCAGTAAAATTGAAGTAGCATTAAGGTCTCATTACCAAAGCCTGGATTTCTTGTGATCCCTTCCCCCGTTCCCCTGAGCAGTTAGCTAACTCAGACTCCTTTCTAATCTCCCCCCCACTTTACAATTACTTACTGTTCATTTTCCTCTGTAGTCACATGCTGCACTGTTGTTGTATCATGTTTCCTTAGGAGTACCTCTGTCTCAGAGATTAGTCAGTGAACAGAGACATATCTTATTTATTGTTCATCACACAATACCTGACCTAAGATCTGTTAACTGCATGAACAAATCAGTATCTTACGTTTACAAAGACTTGGGGTCACCACAGAAAATTATCTAACAGCTTTTCCATAAAATGAATGTTATTTTTAATCATCCACACCTCAAGGAGCAACCTGGGCTTGAATGCAGTTTGCTAAATAATTTTGCTTACAGGTTAAGAACTACTAAGCCAAGAGATTCAAATCAACAACTGAAATCTTGGCTTAGGGAAACTTTCACTTAGAAATCTACGAGTTGACAGAGAAAGTAAAATACCTGCATATTCTGGATAGCATATAGTGAGAGGGCTCTTCTTGATTTTTTCTTCAAAGAGATCCTTCTTGTTCAGAAAAAGTATAATAGATGTATCTGTAAACCATTTGTTGTTACATATGCTGTCGAATAACTTCATGCTTTCATGCATTCGGTTCTGTAATAGAATACAGCCAGTGTGTCAGAAGGGCAAAGATTCTGAGAAATATTACTTTTAAAAAATAATGTGTGTGGGAAAAAAAGTGTGGCAGTACAATAGAGCTTAGTCAGCCGAAGAATAGATAACCTATCACAAAAATGCACTTCTGCCATTTAAGAACAAGCACACGTGATGATTTTAGGCGAGATGAATATCTGCATCACTCATCACCCTTCTGCGTCCATCCAGCACTCGCTGAGTGCCCGCAGTGTGCCACTGTACTGCAGGAGCTTGTGATCTAGAAATGCCAAGTGCAGACATCTCAGAGGGGACCTCATCACTACAGAGTGAACTGAAGTTTCCATTAAAAGGTAAGTAGAGGTTTTTAAAGATTAATGAACTTAAAAAGCTGAAACACAATTAGACCAATACCCTATACAATAGTGTGTGAGGGAAGGAAACCTCCAATTCCTGTTTCCTGCCCTTCTGGTATTTGTGGTTTCAAAAAGGGCACTGATATATTATAGAATGCCAGAAGGACAGAAATGAATGTTGTATGTTACACCTACTGAACTGTAACTGTATATAGCTTATCTTAAAAAAAAAAAAAGAAACTGACATTTATAGCTCTTCTATTTAAAAATATTTCCCCCAGATTAATGGTACACTGAAACACATGTGACAATTACATGACAGCAGCAAAGTATAATATAGCTCAGGGATTACTAAGCAGGCAGAAGTAAGAAATATAAGCCTTGGACTATAATGGAGCTAACTTTATTTTTAATCAGTATGTAGATCCCAGATCACAGAAATGCCTAAATATCTAGGGTTGAAGTGAGATGAACTCTTTGTCTTCTCCTTTTTATGAGGATCCATCATAAAAAATATGCTTCTTTGCATACTAACAGGGAAATGTACCAAATAGAAAAGTTAGAGAAAAGTGCCTGAACTTTCACATTATTCAGGCATTAGCAAGAATTTCTCAAGAATTTTTCTTAGAAAAATTCTTGGCAACAATTCCAACTCTTCTTATTCCATGTTCAATCTTTAAAAGGTTCTACTTGCCATTTCTTCATCTTCAGCTAGAACCAGGTCATAGTCACTCAGAGCCACACAGAAGATGATGGCGGTCACTCCTTCGAAGCAGTGAATCCATTTCTTCCGCTCAGATCTCTGTCCTCCCACATCAAACATTCTATAAGAGGAGAAATGAGTTTGACATCACCCTGAATGCTCAGACACAGCAAGGAGTTCTATAAAAAAAATCACAAAAAAGCTCCAAATCGCATGGAGAATGTGGGATGGAAGGTAAGGAGAAAAGGACTTTAAGGGAGAAAAATTCTGCTAGAAGGGAAGGTCTCTCACAATGAAACACAAAAAAACCAAAATACCTTAAAAAAAAACAACAACCCAAATTCATTAACATATGAGACCACATTAGAACAAGAACATTAAAACACACCAATGAAGGGGCTGAACTATGTGTGAACAGAGAAGTCACAGGAAGCATCTAGAGAATGCAGAGATAATAGAATATATTAAATTCACCAGAGTCACAGAACGTTAGAGGCAGAGAACATGGTCCCCTTGTCCAACTACAAAATGTTTTCTTTCTGAAGCAATATAGCAGGACTTAAACGTAAAGGAGAAACCATTAGAGGTAAGAAAGGTGTCATATTTAAAGCAAGTCATATTTAAATAGGGGCAAACAGGCTGCCTAAATAAAAAGATAAAACCATGGTACAGAAAAAAAGAGATGAGACAAATGGGTGGCCTATTGAATAGTGTGAATACTAGGAGTGAAAAAACTACTACTAGTTTTTACATGATATGCAACAGGAGACCATTCGAAGTTGCTGTACAAGGTAGTAACACAAACAATATAATGATGTTTTCTGCTTTTTCCTCTAAGAGTATAAGTTAAGCAAAAGTTGAAATTCACATAGATTATGTTATGCAATCTAGAAATAGCTGCTTACATAATGGAAACGCTATGCGAACTGGTACATTTTAAAAGGGTCCATTTATCTAGATACTGCACTAATTAAAATAGTCCCTATTTAATTCTCAGGCAAAACGAGTTTTCCCAGTAGAGTAGCATTGGCCTATAAACCAAATCCAAGTGCATCAGATTTGTATCCAATATAAAAGTAACAATACTAGTTACTTTTATCATCATTTAAGTGGTATTTTTCTATTAGTCTAGCTAGTAAATTGTTCATTAAGTTTAAGTATGCTATATAACAAAATGATTCTACTACACACTAAATTAAAATGGGTAAGATGTGAAAAGGACAGCTGGTAATGAAGATCAAACAAAATAAAAGAAATTAAAATGATTACCCATCTGCTAAACTGCCAAGGAACACAATTTGAAGACTGCATTACCAAAAAAGATAATATATTTTAGCTAACTTCTCTGATCACATGTCATATATCACTCCATGTAAAATAACAACAGAACCCTCCTTCTCCCACATTTTCCCTCTGTTGATGATTGGTTTATGTATCAATTTGGCTAGGCTATCATATGCAGTTACTTAAACACTAATTTGGGTGCTGCTGTGAAGGTATTTTATTGTTATGGTTACTATCTATAATCAGTTGATTTTCACTAAAGGAGTTTATCCTTGATAATGTGGGCAGACCTCATCTACTGAGGTGAAAGGCCTTAAGGGCAGAAGCTGAAGTTTCTCAGAAGAAAACAATTCTGCCTCAATACTGCAAAATGAATGTCTACCTGAGCCCGCTGTCCTGCACTGCAAACCAACACCCACTGTCAGGTAAGCCAGCTCCTTGAAATAGACAGACCCTACAGGTTGTTTCCTCTGAGAACCCTGACACATCTTTAGTACCCAGATTTGGGTAATGCAGTAAAACAAATACTCCTGTGGATGTGGCTTTGGAAGTGGGTAGTAGAGAAAGGTTGGAAGAATTTTGAATAATTTGACAGAAAAAGTCCAGAATACCTTGAAATACGGTTGGTTAGAAATACAGATATTAAAAGTGATTTTGATGAGAATTAGATTTTTCTTTTTTAGCCTTCAGGAAGAGCATAATCCTGCTAACAAACTAATTTTTAACTTCTAGCTTCAAGTACTATCAGAGAATAAATTTCTGTTGTTTTATGCCACAAATTTGTGGTTATTTGTTACAGAAGCTTTAGGGAGCTAGCTAGTATATGCCATCTTGCTTTTCTTATCATAGCAGTTACCACCCCCTGAATACTAAATATGTATTTCATTTCCTCTCGTCCCCCAACCCTACAATGATGTAAAGACGAAGACTTTGTTTTGGCCTCCACTGGACAAACAAATGTACTGCATAAGTATTTGTTGAATGAAATAATGAACTGTGTCTACAGAGTGTTTTAAAACACTTTTAAGCAGTAATAGACTAGTTTTTACCAATGCTATTTTTCACAGAACTAGAGCTAAAAAACTTTAAAATTTATATGGAAACACAAAAGATCCCAAATAGCCAAAGTAACCTTGAGAAAGAAAAATGAGGCTGGAAGAGTCAGAGTTTCTGACTTCAGACTATACTACAAAGCTTCAGTAATCAAAATACCATGATAGAATGATACTGGGACAAGAACAGACATACAGATCAAGGGACTAGTTCAGAAAGCCCAGCAATAAACTCAAACACCTACAGTCAGTTAATCTAAGACAAAGGAGGCAAGAAAATACAATGGAGAAAGTGGCGCTGGGAAAACTGGACAGCTACATGTAAAAAGAGTGAAATTAGAGCATTCTCTAATATCATATACAAAATTAAACTCAAAATGGATCAATAATAGACTAATTTTACCATGTTAAAGATATAGACCTTCCAGTTATGCTCTGGGAATGTTAAATATAAAAGAGCTTTAAGTTGATAAGTAGTATGAATACAGAAACAATCTCTTCAATTTAATTTATGAATGAATGACGGTCATTCATTATTGATCATAAGAGACCCTATAGACTATAGCCTGTCAGGCTTCTCTGTCCATGGGATTCTCCAGGCAAGGATTCTGAAGTGGATAGACATTCCGTTCCCAGAGGATCGTCCCAACCCAGGGATCAAACCTGGATCCCCTGCATTGCAGGTGGATTCTTTACCATCTGAGCCACCAGTGAAGGCTAGCATAAACAAAGAACCTTTAAGCTGGTGCTTCTCGGACATTATGTGTGATGTTGATGCTGCTGATTTGCAGACTGGACTTTGAGAATCACTGGCCTAGCTCAAGGAGCAGAAATGACTAAGAACCAATACAACAAAGGATCAGACTGTACGCAGAGCATTATTCATTGTTTTACACATACATTAAAATTACCTTCAAATTCTGAATTTCTATTTAATCCAAAACAAAGATTATAATATGTTCTTCATATGTAGAGACTGTTGACTAGTATTAAACAGGGAGTGAAATTGAGCTTTCTTAGATTTCTTTCTTTAGGGGAGCAGAGGGAGGGAGGGAAGATGGAAGGGAATGTATTGAAGATCCTGAACTGTGCTGACTTACTCTCAAGACTGTTACTTGATATCACTGTGACCAAGACTGGGACAATGCTAATTGACTATACATGAATACTACCCCATAAATGACTTTCCACCCCAAAACCAACTGCACATTTACATTACTATAGAAAAGGAATGGAAACATATTACAATGATAAAGCATCTCTTCTATTAGAAAATTCTATTTTCAGCAAAAATATAACAAAATACCAATAAAACTGTTGATTCTTTAAAGCAAAATAATCCTCTAGACACTGTCCATAAATGCCTGGTCACAGCGGTGACAGTATATATTCCTAAGTTATAATGCTTTGTTGCCTCATTTTAAATTTGTTAATTCCCATACCACAAAACAAGTGAAACTAAAATTTTGTATCAGCAGTTAAAAAACTGGACAATGAATTTATACCACACAACACACAAAACAATAAAACACACTCAGGAGTATCCAGTAGAATTGTTCTAAGCACATTTTTGTCTTCATTTTTCTGAGACTCTCTTAAATATATAAAAAGCATACTTGGAACCATATGTTAGCAATGATAGTAATTTAACAATTCAAATCCAAAATAAGACAAAGTTTATTTAAGTTCCTGACAGCCCTATGTTTAAGTCAGCAAGTGAAAACAGTAACTAAAAACATCCTGCGAAACTTTACGTCATCCAAGAAAGCTAAACAGAGCAAGGTAAGTGGACTTCCTGGAAGGATCGTGATAACAGACAACCTACCTGATGTTGAAATGACAACTTTGGGAAATCTAGGCTGGAAGTGATGAGCATGATCTGGAAGTAAATATTTATAGTGCATCTACCCAAGAACGTGACTGAATTTGACACAGATTGCCTGAAGCACCAAATAATTGACGTAATATTTACCTTTGCCATTTCCCATCATTTACAGAGCTGTCACCTCTGTTTCCTTCTACAGATAATAACCCATTTTATGTACAAACCTCTGACACTGGGCAAGATTGGAACATCAATTAAGAATCTTAAACACGTTTGCCCTTACCTAACAAGGGCAGGTACAGAATCCTTATTTGGTAACCTTAACCCCAAGCACTTTTTCCTCAGATTTCACGGTTAGAACAAAGTGATGATCTGAACATAATTTAAGATTGCTACCAAATATGGTCATAAAGCAAGGTTAACAAAAAATGCAATAAACCTTACAAGCCAAACACTGAATTTCCTTATACTTATAATCATTTCATAATTTTTAAATAAATCCAGCAGTAGTAATCAAGTAAGACAAATCAGATAATTTAAAATAATGCTATTTTAATATTCCTGAGTTTGGTTATGTAATATTCTACAAATAGTAAGCAAACTAAAAGAAGGCAAATGATTTCAGTAAATAAAAGATAATACCAGCAGGGAGAGGAGAAAAAAATTACAAGCAAATGCAAAACAGTACCATACTATAGTACCAAAAGTTACATGCTCAGATAAACTAATTATGATCTGTATCTCTGTTAAAGAAAGCAAGGCAGTGTTTGTTTCTGAGAGGGAAGCTGCCATGGAAAACTGAAATTAAATTTTAATTTCCTGGAAAACTCAATTACATGAATCACTGAATGTGGGATAATGTAGTGATGAATGCTAGTAAGAGATGTATTATATTTAAAATACTTATGGAGAGACTCAGAGGTATACTTGCATACTTAGCTGTGCTCCCCACAGTGTGTAATACTGAGGTTCTTTGAGGTGAGCTGAAGAATATTTGTTTTTAATCTCTGACTAGAAACCTCTTTTTGTGATAGTTTCAGAAATTCTGATTTATTATCATACTGTTTCAGAGCACTGGAATTAAGTGGAGCAAAATTCAGCAGTTTTTCTCACATTTTGTTTTTCTTTTTTTAATAAGTAACAATTTTCAAAGTTCAATCCTGAACTTCCCTGAACTTGGTTCATTATAAAATGAGTGAACAAGACAAAATGAACTTCAGGATCCCTTTCATTCTATAGGCTACCATTCAATACTTCTCTGTTCAGACCTCAATAAGTTATAGTACACTGTAAATTAAATGAACATTTTTCATCATGAAATAGTAGAAATGTAAGAGGGAGTAAAAATCTTTGTGAAAAATTTTTAAAAGGTAGCTTTTAAAAACATTTCCACAAATCAGCATATATTCTATTAGCAAAACCTAAAAATAGATGGCAATACTTTTCCAAAATATACAGTATTAGAGAAGTAGTTTCTATTTAAAAATAAAAACCAAAATCTATTTTTATTTAAGCCACTGTGAAAAATACAGGCAAAAGAAATCTGCATGGTTACTTTTTCTTAAATAAAAATATCCCCCTTTGGACCTGAAAAACATTTTTCCAAAATTTCCAACTCTAAAAAATTTTAAACTTTTTTATACATTTTTCCCTTAAACATTGTATTTTGTATTCTATATCTGAATTCATATATTATATGCTTTGAAGCTACTCACTTAAAATGAAGATCTTTGAAAGTAAAATGGGTCTCAACAATTCCTGTGGTTTTCACTCGAGTTCTGAGAACATCTTGTTGAGTTGGAATATAATTTGGTTGTGCAATTCTGTCCAAATCATTCAAATAGCTGAAAAATAAATAATATGCTAATAGTTAACATTATCAATGAAGATCATCTAAATCAAAGAGCAAAGCATTTTGATAAATGCAGTACTACATTTTTTTTTTACTGCAAGTTTTACTGCAAATTTTTAATTTCTGTGTAATGATGTAATTTGACCAATTTAAATCTGTATCTTACACAACTCTCTCTGAAATGAAAATGTTTATACTTCTCCAGCCACAAAACTCCATAAGCACTCGACTCACTGCAAGCCATGAATTTGTCTCTAAAGACTCTTTCTTACATTTTTCTGATGGAGCACTATGTTTATTTTCTAGACATTTCTTTTTTGTTGAGGAGTTATTGCAGAAAGCCTTCCTTTTTGAGAAAGTAGTGAGGAAACCCCTGGCCAAAGGCTGAATTCAGGATTGTGTTCCTTTTCAACTAGCCTGAAGTTATACACACAAAAACACTACACATGCTCCTGTACTCTACATTTTACTGGCTCTATGAATCAACATTCATATTTTATTTCTGATTTTAGCCACTCATTCAACTCTCTCTGCCAATAATGCAAAATATGCTGTGCTATAAAAATGTAGTGGTATCATACTATGCAATTCTTTTGTGCCCAATTATGCAGTAGAATAAATAAGGTTACACACAGTACAGGTAGAGAGAGATTACGGTGAACTTGAGTGGTTAAGAAGAGGGCTTACTAGAGAGTGAGGTGAGGAGTGTAACAAATCTGAAAGGTGCATGGATAAAAGGGAATGTTACTCACATCAGAAAAAGCGTAGTAAGGAGGTAGGAACAGTCACATCTTGTATCTTAGAACATAAATCCACTAGTAGGCTATGGAATTAATCCTAAGGTCACCTGAATGTGGGGAGCATGACTGCAGTGTTTCCTAATACTAGAGTGGAACAGTTCAAGATAATTTAGCAAATACATCAGGGTTCATTAGAGAAGCACCAACTTTTGCAACTTTAATTGATGCTGCCCTCTCAAACTGTTCTTTAGCCATTTAGAATGGGTCTTATCCACAAAAGGAGCTCAATAAATATATGATTTGTGGAGATGTAATTGGAAAGCCATCTGCTGAATTAGTAATCAAAATGTTAGAGACAAGTATATGTATGTGATGTTGATACTAGAATACACAGAGATGATAGTTTATCTGTATTTTAAAATAATGTATTACTACATGGTTGATAATCTCCTACTATTTTATCTGTTTTTAGTTCCACATATAGTAAAGCTCACTTTACTGTAATAAAATCTAACTTAAAACAGGCCATGACAAGAGTTTACTAACTGTCCCTTTGAAATAATGAGCTGTTCTTATTTAAAATATGTTCTGATTACTCATATAAACATTTATTTGCTTAAAATTGCTATAGTTCTATTAGCCTCTAAAATTAATGCACATTTATATTTCAACAAGACAAAAAAGAAAAACAGGCACTGTGAAAAACTCCAATTGTTTTAAAAGATCACAAATTTTTCATAGATCGATGGTTAGATGGTCTTACTGGGCAATTGGGCAGCACCCTCTATCTCTGGTCAAGAATTCAGAAATCAAGATGCCTTATAATTACCAAGGAGAATAATGAGTTTCATGACTTCCTTCATTCTTGAAAAATGGCTCCATTTTTGCCATCTTAAGATTAGTAATGAAACAACAGAGAGCCAAAGTGACTCCAAGCACTGTGCATAGGACAAGGGATCTGGGCAAATGTACTTCGTGGGAAGTGGGGTGTCCGTCCGGGAAGATAGGGGGAAATGAACTTTAATCTACTGTCCCTGAGAAGCACCCCGTAATTATTCAAACAGCTCCTCTTGCTGGGCTCAGCTCAGAGCAAGTTACTCTCTATAAGTAATTTCCGCTTTGATCTTTCTGCAGGTTCTGGTGGTGTCAAAGCAAGTACCGTGGACCAAGAGTTGTGTTTTGCACTTTGCACTAAGAAAATTTTTTTCTACTTTTTTCTTCTAGCTTCTGGAAAGTTTGGTTTATTAATATAAGGGCGTATTGTGTGATGACCATGTATCAGGTAATGGAGATAGAACACTGGGCAAAAACAGACCTTACTGAGTTTACAGTTTAGTGGCAGGGATTTAAAAAAAGAATCAAATAGTCCTCAATGTTAAGTATAAATAATATTACCTCAAAATACATGTAAATATGTGAGTGCTAGAGAAAAAAAACCCCTCAGATCATGAGTACACAACACGGAGACAATGGCCTACCCACTGAGTCAAAGAATATTTCCTTGTAAAAAGTAAGGACACCAGATGGAGAGATGAGCTACATGTCAATAAGATGTCATATACATGTAATAATACATATGGCTTATACACTTGTAAAACACTAAAAATACATGTTAAAAAATATAGCATTATAAAAATTATGACAGGTTACACAATATCTTGTATTACTTCTTCACTCACACTAAATCATTAACGTAATGCCGAGCACACTGACGCGCAACGTATGACATTACTATAATTAGGTTCTCAGCAGCCACACCCATTTGTTTTTCACTGTGGCAAAGTATGTGTGTTTACCCAGACCTTATAATACTTGGCATCTTCTATTTAATCCTCACTTGTATCCCTGAGAGCCAAGAGCTCTGTCAAGAAAACTAACTTTGGAAAATAAAATAAGTGTAAGGCACTTGTTTCTACTCAGAGTATCTTCTTTGACATTGCTGAGCATGTGTGCCAAATAATGGAAATAAATTCTTGATATTTTTTTTCCTATGCAGATCACCAAACAGAAAACTCCCTGACTAGGTTTTATCAAAACTTACTTTATAGACTTTCTGAGGCCACCACCTAGAAAACTGGGGCAAATTTTTCTTCTAAAAACTGCAGTTCGATATCTATTAATATAAACAATGTCTAATGCAACACAGCACATATACTTGAAAATTGTCACATTTACAGCTCCTTTATTTTCATCAATGAGAATATCTTGATGGTATCACTGTACCCCCCTTCAAACAGGGTGCCTCGGACTAAGGTGCCTGTCCCCGGACAAGTGACTTCTCAGGAACGTAAGTAAATGAAGAGCACTTACATTAGTTACCCTCCCCTTTGGCTGGTCCCAGACAAACTAGAGGTCCACCCAAACTCCAAGTAAACTTTGGGAAATCCCAAATACTTTCTTGGAAGTATACTGGAAACAGTTCCATGCTGCATGATTAGAGTTACATAAGCATGTGTCCCCTGAGACAATTTTTGAACATAAAAGAAATATCTGCAAACACACACACACACACACACAGAAAAAGTGTTCAAATATTGTCATCCTGAATACCTTGAGTTGTACAAGAATGTGTCAGCCAATTCTGCATTAAAACTGACTTGGAGGTATATTTGACTTGCAAGTAACTATTCATGATCATGAAGTTATGATTACTTACTATGCTGCAGAATCATTAAGCTGGTACTCTCGGGATCTGTTGAAGCAGGCTTGTACACCACTGTCTTTCCACAGTCTCTTTATAACTCCAGCAAGTTCTGCAGTCATAAAACCTTCCTCTGCAGCACCAGCAAGCACAAAGAGTTGGCGGGCATCATCCTGAACATTCAAAGGCCATTTTTATTTAAAAAGTAAAAAGACACTACAGATAAAATACATTATCGACTACAAAAGGTTCAATTCTGAATTTCCTTTATGCTGTCTATTGGTGTCATAACTTAGATTTCCCTAAAATACCACTTTAAAAATTGGCTTAATAAAAAAAAACACAATCTTAAGTCATGCGTCCATGTTTTGTGATATTAGTAACAGCAATCAAGGCACCAGAAAGCTAAAACAGTGACGAGACAGCTCACGAGGGATTATATTAACCAACTACCCACTGACAGTCAGCTGTGCATGGAAGATGATCACTTGTGACCAAACAGAAGCTTGTATTCTTTGCCTCCCATCACCAAAATGTTTTCTAATTTAAAAAACACATTCACACCATTAGAAGTTATTTTCAGAATTGAATTGTCAGCTCTGTGATGCACTTTGTAGAGGCATAATAAACTCAGATAAGGAAGAAGTCAATGTGGAATAAAGCAAGAATATTTCCACAGAATAGTCTGAGGTTTCAGAAGACCTTAAAGTATATATACATTAAATCAGTGGGTCCAGAAGTGGGGACAGGTGTTTGCTAATCCAAGCATAGGAAAAAAACACAGCTCTGAAGTAGAAATAACTCATGATGCATATAGAAGACAGCATGCAAAAAAGTTTTTAAACGGACGAATACTGCATGCAAAATTAAATTCTGCTTAAGTGTTGAGCCTACAACGCATGTGTGCTAAGTCGCTTCAGTTGTGTCCAACTCTGCGATTCCATGGACCATAGCCCACCAGGCTCCTCTGTCCATGGGATTTTCCAGGCAAGAACACTGGAGTGGGTGGCCATGCCCTCCTCCAGGGGATCTTCCCAACCCAGGGATCAAACCCCCATCCCTTATCTGTTCTACATTGACAGGCAGGTTCTCTACCACTAGCACCACCTGGGAAGCCCAGAATCTACAATAGTTACAGTTATTCTGATCTATAGGTAATAAAACCCTATTTTAGTTGTTATCTATAGGTTGTTATCTATAGGTAATAAAACCCTATCAGTGTTGTCCAAGAGATTTAAGCCACTGATGGAATTTTAAATTTTCCAACAGCACGTTTTAAAAAGTGTAAAAAAAAAAAAGTAAAATTCACTTTCACAATATTTTATATCACCTGTATATAAAATATATTTCAACATTTAACCAATATACACTTACATATTTAGTCTTTGAAACTTGGTATTTCTTTTATACAGACAGCACATCCCAATTCTGATCAGGCACATTTCACGTACTCAACAGCCACATACAGGTAGTAGCAACAGTGGTCTACAACACAACTCTAGTCTTCGGGTAATAACATGGATAATACAAAATAAGGGAGATGTGAGGTTACCATCGTCACAAAGATTCTTTCCTGGGCTGGGATTTGCAGCTTATGTTAACTGGGTAGACCATTCCTAACTTTTCTCAAGGGGCATCTTTCCAGCCTAGTGTAGTAGCTCTTTACGAACTGATGGCACATCCCAGGATACGGTGTACAGAAGGGAAGCATTTGGTGACACAGGCTAGCAGCGGGTACCAGCTGACAATGTAAATTCATTCTACTGCCAATTTGTGAAACATTTTCTTTTCAGATAGAACCCATCATGAGAAATAATTAAGTCACTCAGCATGGGAACATATTATTCAAGCATATGTTTCCCTTTTTAGTAAATCACAAGAGAAATTCATGCAGTCAAGTAACACGTGTACAAGATCCTTAATAAATTCCAACAAAACACGATTTCAAGTCATTCTTAGCACCACTTACCTTATTCCAGTAAATATTTACTCAGTTTTCCAAATAATGACTTACATATAAGAAATTTCTAAATTTGGTCATTTTTATTTTTAACTAAGTGACATCAAACATACTTTTCTCTATCCATTTTAGAAAAGTGCTTTTCACTTAAGTGAGCTTTCATTATGATGTATTTATTCAATTTTCATAAAATTTTTTGATAGAAAAGACTAATGCCCACTGGTATGGGTCATAAGATCACATTCTCTTCAAACTTACCAGGCAAGAAGCCTGAAGAAAAGACTTGGGAAACTGTGGAAACTCTATTTATAAACTGTATTCTCTCTGTAGCATTCAAAAATGTCTCCTCTTCACAGAAATGTTAAGAAGTCTCTTTTCCTTAATAAATAAATTGGAATACTCCCACGCCATTAGGAGGATATTCAGATGACTATAGATGAGCTTTAAGAAATAAATATAAGCTGGAAGGTACTTTAAAATTATTCTACCTAACTTTAGGTTTTATATAAAAAGAATCCGAAGCACAAAAAGACTGTGCAATTTATTTGGAGTTCCACAGGTAATTAGTCACCTCACCCAATCACACATATTAGTCAACAGTTACCAAGTAGCCGCTGCCTAAGACAAGACAAATTTGAAAATCGCAGAATGATGACAATAGTCCTATCTTATCATGAACTGGTGTTTTCAAGATTCATGTAAAATGTTACTTAAGAACATTTACGGCTTCCCTGTAGCTCAGATGGTAAAGAATCTCCTGCAATGCAGGAGACCAGGTTCAATCCCAAGATAGGGAAGATTCCCTGGAGAAAGGCATGGCCACCCACTCCAGTATTGCCTGAAGAATTCCATGGACAGAGGAGCCTGGACGGCTGCAGTCCACAGTGTTGCAAAGAGTCGGACACAACTAAGGTAGTGACACTACTACTACTAAGAACATTTAAGAAAGAAAAACTTAAGTGTACCAAAACAGTGTGACACAGTGCAGAAAATTGACAGGTATTACTAAAGGGCTATAGGTAAGTAAAACAGCTTACAAGAACTCTTATTTGTGACCTTAAGAAGAAATTTACTTATCAGGCAATTACTTGCAAGTATCAAGAAAAAAATCTGTGAATGTAGCCAAGTTAGTATGTTTTTAAATGACTAAGAACTGAATGAAAATAAGATGGTCTGAAGAATGGAAGTTCTAGTTCATACAAACTGGGCGTGTGGGGAACTCAGAAAAGAGGTAAGAAATGCTATCTGCTATCATGTCAAGAGACACATAATAGCCTCTTTTCCCAACTGACGATGAGGGAGCACCTGTTACTCAGTGACAATACATTTTATTTGAAGCTTTCGCCTACTTCATGAGGATTATGAGAAAGTATTTGGAGGCTGATGACGGCTGTCTTCTGATTTCTGATATATCAAGGTTCATTAAAAGGAAGAAGGAGTAGACTTTGTGCTTAGACACAGAGCAGAAAAAGAATTCTTAGGGCAAAAGAGAGCAGATTTCAATTCAATAAAAACACTTTTTAACAACCAAAGCCACCTAAAAAAAACAAAAAAAGGAGGGAGAGTGAGAGACTGAAATTTTAAGCAAAGGCTACATCATTATTTATGGTGAGCTAGCAGACAGAATTTATGAATCAGATGAAGAGTTTAAATAGAAATCATCAGAAAGTCCTTCCAACAGAAGCTAAATAATATGCTCAAGGAGTGTTAAAAAATTGTGACACCTTCAAATTTTTGGCTGCAAGGAAAATATCAATGTATTGATGTCATGATTGATATACACATAGAAATCCTTAAGTTTCAATTGTTTTGAATAATTATTTTCAATATCAGTTGAAAATACTGAACACCACATACAACGAGAAATGCTCCTATATTTAATCTACCACATTTCTAGCATACAATCACTCCTGTAAATTTAAGACGACTATACAGCTTTTACCAAAGTTAGTGTACTCAATAGGAAATACTGAGAATGTTAGTGAAGTCACCTCTCCACAGCTCCTGGTGCTAATCCCAGACATTAAAGAATTGCTTTGATTAAAAAAAACATAAAACTTTTTTTCTCTAAAAACAGAAATATAGCTAAAGTAAAAATGACTGAGACAAGGAAATGGGGGGGGGTGCTAAAAATAAAATAATCTAATTTTAAACTGCAGATGGCAAAACTTGACTAAATTGCAGTAAATGTGAGCTTCATTATGTCAAAAAAAGAAATTACAATATATTAAATAAATATAACATGCATTTATTAATCTTGTATGTATTTTAAAATATCAAATCAATAAAATAAATATTTGTGTTCTTTGTATGGACAACAGAACCTACTATCAAAAGACATAGATAAATATGTAATGAATAATACATGAATTGAGTAAAGTAGAAAAATACTGTGCTGGAGGGACATAATATATTTCAAATTAAGGTCAGTATCACTTTCCACATATACAAATCATTATTTCTCAGAATCAAAAACAACATAACTTCTTCACCTTAGTTCTCAAATATAAACCAGACTACTACTATAAATAATTCAAACACTGATTTGGGAAAATAACAAGTAGAAATAACTAGAAACATTTTGAAAAAGAATACTGGGGACAGAGGGCTGAAATTATCAGATATTAAAAGTCTACAACATGGAAAACATCTGGTATTAAGATCAATGGGGGTGGGAGCCCCAAATCTGAACTTATAAAGGTGGCAAGATAAATCAGGAAAGAATGCAATTACTGAAAAAACACTTGTGAATATTTAGATAGCCGTCTGAAGAGGAAAAAATAGTGCAGATCCTCATTCCGTGCACACAGCAAAGTTTCAGAGGGGTTGGAGGATCTAGCATAGAAACAACCCTGAAATGCACTCCCTAAAAAACCTTAAAATATCATAAACATTCAGTAAATCTTTGGCTGAGAGAAGACTATCTAAATTTAAACATAATGGAATAAATAATAGGGGGATTTTTTTTTAAACGAAAACCTAAGATGAAAAGCAGTAAGCCAAATGTGAGAGAACCTATGCATTAGTGGACAAAGAGTTATTATCCTTGTACATTTGTTGTTGTTTACTGGCTAAGTTGTGTCCATTCTTTGTGACCCCATGGACTGTAGCCTGCCAGGCCCCTCTGTTCATGGGATTTCCCAGGCAAGAATACAGGAGTAGTTTGCCATTTCCTTATCCATGGAACCTTCCATACCCAGGGTCTGAACTCATGTCTCCTGCTTGGCAGGGCAGAGTTTTTACCAATGAGCCACCTGGGAAGCCATGTGTATACAAACAAGCAAAGAGATTAATCAAAGCACCAAGACTCTAATCAATAAGTGAATACAGGATAAAACAGGTGACAACGTAGAGAAAGAGAGTCAGTGAAGACAAGGAAAAATGTAGAGTTGTATGAAAAAACTGAAAATGCAAATTAAATTGAAATAAGACTTAAACCAGCCAATATTTTTAAAATTTAAGACTGCAAGATTTTGGCTACTGAGACTGCTGAGAAACAGTGCTGCGGCTAGGAAAGCACAGCCTTTCTCAGAAGCAATCTGGCAGACAGATGTAATGTAACTAACTAATGAAATAAATGCAAAAATCAGAGGAAGAGAAAAGCGGCCACAGTGCAGGAGCCCAATCCAGTGTTCTTGCCTGGAGAATCCCAGGGACAGAGAAGCCTGGTGGGCTGCCGTCTGTGGGGTCGCACAGAGCTCCGTCTTAGCAACAGCAGCAGCATACTGAGGTTTGGGGGAGCAAGGGAGCTTAAGTCAATTTAAGGCAAGGTTTTCTGTTCCTTACAGCCCAGCTTATTCTAAGGAAGTACTTCTCAAGCTTTCTTGGATGAAAGATCAGCCCTGTGTTTTATCTTCTTTTGTTTCTAATCTTTTAATACTAATACTATTGTAAATTAAGGTAGCTCAGATGGTAAAGCATCTGCCTACAATGTGGGAGACCCAGGTTCGATCCCTGGGTCAGGAAGATCCCCTGGAGAAGGATACGGCAACCCACTCCAGTATTCATGCCTGGAAAATCCTATGGACAGAGGAGCCTGGTGGGCTACAGTCCATGGGGTCGCAAAGAGTCAGACACAACTGAGCGACTTCACTTAACATATAATATAAGAGTTAACATATAATATGAGTTAACATATAAATTACTAGGTCAATTGCTGCAAGTCTGTCTATTACTTCCCCTACCTCTGTGCTCACCTGTGTGCATGCTTGTGTGCAGTGCCTAAGACATGTTTAGAGGCCCCAATTCAAGGCTTCCCTAACTGCACATTATTAAAAACAAAGTAATATACTTTATCAGTATTGTCATCCACAGGTTGACTACACTCATTATGAGAGTTCTGAAAGTATATTAGGCACAAAATTTGATTGCTCTATGCCAGCCTTGAAAATAATTTTGCTCCCTTTCATTTTAAATAACTAATGTGTAATGTGCTTTGCAAATTCACTAGCTGCCAAATATGAAGCAAACCACAGCAAATTAGTCACCATCTCTTAAAATTTAAAATACATTTTGTCATCAGTTCTCACTCACCCAGTTAGCCTACATATTAAAATATAATTCCAGTTAAGATACTGACAGGCTTTTTTGTTTTTTTCATTTCAATAGGGATGTGAGGAAGTACAATGATTCCTGAGTTCATCTGGAAGAGAAATGGATAGTAGCCTTAAGATTTTGGTTAAAAAAGAATAGTGGAATGGATGCACTTACCCTAGCAGATACCAATGTCCTATGAATCAAGAGAAATTAAATGTTACTCTGACAAAAATTATAACAGTAGTGTAGTCATTATAAATGACAGTAGCAGTAATAAACATTTACTGAAATCTCTTATAACCAAGGCATGTGGTAAAGTCTTGTCATTATCCCTCACAACTCTAAAAGGTAGATGTTATTATTATTTCCATCTTATGATGAAAATAAGTGACTGAGCTGGGGAAAAAAGAATGCATCAGTGAGAAAAAAAAAAACAAAACTGGAGTCTAAAAACACTCAATATAATGCTAAGGGTAGCATTTTCAAGTCACTCAGGAATGGAGTACTTAATACATGGTTTGTAAGGCAAGAGATACTTAGATTTCACCTAGCAGGAGACACAAATAACATTTCCAGGTGAGTGGACACGTTATTCTAGAAAAAGAAGATATGTTTTTAAAAACAATTTTAAGATGAAGAATATCTAAAGGCACAAAACACAGAAGTCAGAATTGACTGAAGAAAACGAGGACTTCTAACGTAAGAAAAATACTGTTTTAAAACAATCAAAGAAATATCCTGAATAAAAATATTTGCAAAGCATAAAGAAGTAATATCTCTAATATTCTAAGAGACTCGATGTGAAAAAGGACAAGGTATTAAACAGAACTGAGTAAAGACTACTAAAAGGAGTCTAAATACTAAGTTCAATACTAAGAAGAGATATAAAAGATTCTCAACCTCAGCAAAAATCAAGAAAATAAAAGCGAGTAAAGAAAAAAAGAGAGTAATTTTTCACTAAGATATTAACGAGTTCAGGACAATCCATGGCGGTTAGTCCAGTGGCTAAGATTCCTTGCTCCTAAAGCAGGGGGCTTGTGTTTGATCCCTAGTCAGGGAGCTAGATCCCACATGCTACAACTAAAAACCCAGTAAAGCCAAATAAATTTACAAAAAAAGGTATTAAATAACTCAAATGTTGACGTATCTAAGTTAATTAGACTGAGTTGACACTGATGCACACAGTTGCTAGAAGAGATTAATCACTTTGTGTTTTTTCTGAGAACAGAAAAAACTATAGTACCTTCACACTTAAATATCTGGTTATCCTTCAACTTAAGGCTAACACTTCCAAGAATTGATATCTTAGAAAAAGAAATAAATTCAGCCTTTCACTATACAGTTTCTTCTTTCTAGAATGCTTCTTTCCCTTGTTTTGGTCTAGAAAACTCTTAACACATGCTCCAATTATCAAGCTCAAAGACCAAGCTGTCTTTAATTCATCTTTGTATTCCTGAGCACAATTTCCAGAGCCTCATAGTATTTTAAAATTTGCATGTAAGCAAGGCTGCAAAGACATGGAGTAGACCAATCAAAACCAATGAGACAGCCTGAAGACATATGTGTGAAAGAGTAACAATGGCTAACATTAGCAGAGGTTAACAGTCAGAAGGAAGGAAGAAAACAAGTTACTAGGATACAGCTAGACAGTCTAGAAAGAGTGGGTGAAACTAGCACAGATGAAGCAAACCTGATCACAGCAGGCCCCCATGTAGATTCCAAAGCATCAGAAAACCAGTTTAAAAAAAAATCAACACCTGTATCAGAGCAGTTATTCCCAGTCAGTCCTGAAACAAAGTCTCTGAAAGTTGCTCAGTCGTGTCCAACTCTTTGCCACCCCATGGACTATATATATAGTCCACTGAATTCTCCAGGCCAGAATACTGGATTGGGAAGCCCTTCCCGGATCTTCCCAACCCAGGGATCCAACCCAGGTCTCCCTCGTTGCAGGTGGATTCTTTACCAGCTGAGCCACCAGGGAAGGCCAATCAGTCCTGAAATTAAGCCCAAATCTGCCTCTAAAGGACACAAAATGAAAATATTTCTTGAGAAAAATATGAAAATAAAAAGACCTCATAAAAAGGCAGCTTGCCTTGACCCTTCATTACCTCACACAATGGAGGCTACAAAACCTTTCTCTTTAATAATCACATGTAAGATCTGAAGGCATAATACTGTACACATGAATTGGAATTAATGTAAAGTACAATTTATTCAATTCTTTATCTTAGGGTAGCTCTCTTGTGTATGACTAAGAGCTCAAAAACATTTCCTGAATGAATAATGATAAATGAATAAGTTACAGGCTGAATGGATAGGAGATAAGGCAAAAATTGGATATGACCAAATGCTGTTTCAGAAAAAGATAAGTTAGAATAATGCTATGAATTACTAAAAATGATCCTGAAGTCTTTGAAAATTTTAATTCATTACACAGAAGCTTTTTAATCTTTATTTAAAGCAAAAAAAGCTTAGTAAGTTAATATGTCCCACAACTTATAAAGAAATTTTAGTGACTTATTATACAAAATAAGCAAATTATTACAGATTTCCCCAATGTATGTTTTCTAATGCTGCTTTCATTGATTTTTTTTTTCCTGTCAAGTACAAATTGAGCCTATATATAAAATCAAAAACCTGGCAGACCTAAGAAGACAAAAAGTCATGGTCTCTATACAAAAAAGCCTTTATAGTATTATCAGGGAGATAACACACATATTGAACACATAAAAATAAAAAGGAACTATAAAAGGGGGTAGTAGGAGCAACAGTGGTAATAATGTACATCTACTTTGTACCAAAATATTACAAACTAATCTAGAGATTCACTTAAAGGTTTCTGGAAACATCAAGTTTTACCATGTTATTTAAAAAAAAAAGAATCAGTGAAGAATAAACCATATACAAATAAAAAAAACTTGAAACAGATTAAGCAAGCAACCCAGGACTGCAGAGAAAAAGAGGAAAATATAATATATGGGCCAGGCTGGGGCTGTTTCCGATCAAACTGAAAACAAGTTACATACTGGGTCACAGAAGGAAGCACAGCACACTGCCTTGCTTACCACCGTGTGACAATCTTTCCTATCATGTAATGTCCTGGGTTCCAGTTTCTTTACTGCTAAAACAAAGCGGTGGAACTAGCCTGTCTCCTAAGGTTCTTGTCCTTCTAGCTTTGAAATTCTGAAAGATGTTTTCTAATAGCCAGTATTTTCTGATTCCAAAGAAAGCAAACTATATACTGTTTTCATCATCTGAGACTAGACTGCTTTTTAGTCTGGGCATGAACACAAATATTTAGATCATTTCAGCATTCCAAATCATGTAAACAAATTCTGAAGAATGCCAGTGTAGGCAGTTTACTGAACCCGGTAGTAACTACTCAAAACCATTATGGAGAGTCAGAGGTAATCAGTATACTATGTTACATACAAAATGGTTACTGAGTGGTCCAAACCATCTGATGGATAAGGAAAGCATTCTGGCTCTAATGGGAAGATTATGCAAATCTGTGTATTCTTACTCTACTCACGTCTAAAGCTTCTGACCTTCTTCACTCACTACTATTCTTCTGGTCCTGAGGCAGCTGATAAATACAGTATGGTGTTACCATGCAAGGTTTTTTTTTTTTTTAACTCTTCTGGTCTGCTCCAAGGACTTTAGTAACTTACCGCCCGGGCCGAGTCACCGAAGTCGATCTTCAATCTCCCCATGGCCCTGATGATAGCGATAATTGACTGGATGGTGTTGCTGTAGACCACTGCTTTGTACTGCTTACATTCCTCTTCTGAATAACCAGCTTCGTGGATAATTCTAAGGAGACAAAAGGAAAAAAAGAATACTTACTTCCTTTGAGGGAACGGTACACTTAAACAACATAAAAAAAAAATTAATGTTTTAAATCTACTTACTTCATTTGCTTCACAATTGTACTTTTCCCAGATTCACCAGCACCTAAAAAATGTGAAATAAAATAATTAAGGGATTTCTAATTTTATCACTTATGTATATCCAACTCCCAAACACACACATTCTCTCTCACAGTTGAATTTTTTAAAACATTATTTTAAATTGGAGTATATAGTTCATTTACATAGCTGTATTACTTTCTGCTGTAGAGCAAAGTAAATCAATTATACACACACATACATGAAAAATATATTTTCCCATACACGGTCATTACAGAGTATTGAGTATAGTTTCCTGTGCTATATAGTAGGTCCTTATCAGTTATCTATTACATATAGAGTAGTGTGTGTATATATATATATCCCAGTCTACCCCCTTTTACACTGGTCACCATTTTTTTTAACATCTGTGACTAAATTTTATTTTATATCAAAATGATCTTTATTGGTTTCCAAAATACCGAAAATTTCTTTAAAATAAGTCCCAAATATTTATTACATCATAATACTTAAAACTCAACTGAAAAAAAAAAATGCTTTCATTGTTGTTTTTATGTATTCCCTAAAGCACTTAAAAAAATTCCTCCTTCTATGGCTCACACTGAAGCAGTATAAATTAATTTTATTCAAGATTTTGCCCCTCATTGGACGACATTTAACTGTTTGGCCAATTATCATAATTTTAACCTTTGCCTCTTGTGAATCAGATAGCCAGCAGTACCAAGAAACCATGAAAATTATTTTTAAATATGTTAAAATAACAATGTCTCATGCATTATATATAGTCGACCACCATTATTAAACAACCGACAGAGCCAACACACTTTGCCAGCACTGAGGATGCAAAGGTACGCAGAAAGGAACATCTCCGCCCATGTTTTTCTATATTCCCGACCACCCGGGTCATAAACCCAGTCTCAAAACTATCCCTAAAAAAAACACAAAACTCTCCCTGACCCTCTGTACTCACGCACGATCTCCTCACCATTTGAGTCTCTAGAATTATGCCATTGCAACATGAAAATATTAACCACAAAATGGCCCTTTATAAAATCAGAGCCCTCTAGATACTGAGAGCATCTGAGCACAGCACACAGAACAAGGAAGGGGTGACAGCCTCACGCTGTCTTCGGCCAGAGCTACACATCATGGAGCCATCACTCTTGAGAGAGAGACGGGGTTCGGGATTTTCATTATCTGGGCCTCATGTTCCCATTTTCCCAGGGCCATTCCTACTGTGCTTTATGCTCCAGTATCACTGAACTTACAGTTCCCAGAACGCCTACTGCTGCTGACGCCACAAGTCTTCAAACACACCGCCTCTCCTGCCGAGTGTAATCTACTCTGCTCCCCGCGCCACACCAGTGATGCTGCGTCAACCACCAGACCTACCTCCTCCATCAGCCTTTCCAGACCCGCTCCCACTGCGATCCCCGCTGCCCGGCCCTTTGCACATTTTCCGCTTGAAAGCTCAGCAGCTAACCTGTGCTAGACACACTATCAACCAGAAATGTACCTGAATTTATTTAAGCTACCTGCGATGGATCTGGTAGATGGCAAACTTCTGGGCCTCACTCCCTTGCCCTCTCCCTCAGCCACACACACACACACACACACACACAACCAGATCATTACAACATCTGAGAATAAGCCACAGTTAAATGGCCTATTTGGAAATCTGGGGGAAAAAAATTGCTTACATTTTATTTGTGATTTGATATTCAAGAAATTTCTCCAAGATAGCTGCATATTAAATAGAAAAGCAGGCGCTGAATAAACACTGAGGGCATTATTCGTTTACAGACAGCCTTTGAATCTTAGAGGGCATGTGCCAATACAAACAACTCCACGATGAACAACCCATTATCTATTAATCAGCAACAGTATACTTGGCTCTATGAACAGCACAATTGTAGGCATCATGGCTCACACATTTCTCTAATTCAGGAGAGGTCTGCCCAAGTCACACGCCCTCAACAGCTTCCAACAGGGCTATCTCCAAGGGACCTCTGCGCTTCCAGGGCCCTGCTCGCTGACTCAGCAGCAGGCCTGCCATGGTGACACCCCATTCTGTTAGTGAAACAACCAGAGGCGCAGAGAAAGGCTTACATGACACACGTCCATGAGGTCTGAGAACCACACAAGGTGAAAAAATCAGAAAGAGTAAATAAGAAACAGTAAAGAGCAGAAAAGCTACTAGCTAAACTATGTGTATACAGATGAAAATTTTAAACTCTTAAAGAGAAAAAAGCAAGTTTTTCTAATGCTAGACATTATTTTTACATTCAGATTTGCTTCCTATGTCACCAATTATTGTATGAGCAATAGAGAATCTAGTCAATGGTGTGTGGTTCAAAAAAATCCTGAAACATGTTTAACATTTAAGAGTGAGGGGTGGCAGTGTCATTGGTTGACTGTTTAACTGATTTTTTTTGCTAGATACAAGGTACCCTCTGTGGAATAGATATCCCAGAGGCAAAAACACTAGGGGGTGGGGGACATTTCAAAATTTAAAGATTTACGTAATTAGTTTTCAATTCTTCGTTCCACACAGACTCTTAATAGGAAAATTAGAAACGCTGCCTTGTTAGGGTTCCAACATTCTAAACACTGCTATTCTTTCCATACAGCATACAGGAGACTAGTTCTCTACAAATCTCAGCACAGTCTTGTTTGAGAGACTGACAGGAAGCAATTGTTTATATATTAAAGAAACAAACAAACCAAAAACCTCAGAGGTCATGGAGGCAGGAGAAAGGAGAAAAGGGTAAATTTCCCTATCAGAACTCAGCTAGGCAGCTATCACTTTTCAATTCAATCCATAGGTGAGGTTAAGAGTGAGAGAACCCTTCTTTCAAGAAGAAACAAGGAATATGTAACAGCTCATCATCAGGAGAGATCCTAGCCACAGACCCTGCAGTCACAAAGCGGACCCAGTCAAGGAGGCTAGGCGGCCTCTAGAGTAACCCTCAACAAGCTGGTCGGGGTAAAATGAGAGACTTCAGGGTGGTGGGCAAGAACGCGTGCAACGTGGCCACAGGAACCAGAAGGCCGCTGAGGGGAATCCCCAGGCCTCTCTTTAAAGAGGAAGTGGCAGATGGAAAACTGCAAGTCTGTGAGCAAACGTGCATCCAGCAGTTGCGGGAAGTGGAGCTCGGCATCTGGTAACACACCGCACAGATGATGGGAGAGTCAGGGCTCACCACCAGTGACGCGGACAGGGGCTCGCCTGCGGGCACGGCCTCGTGCGCAGGCCTGCTCAGTAACAGCGCGTCAAGTGCTGACAAGCAGCGGGGGAGGAGGGGAAAGATAAAATCACATAAAGGTCGAAGTCAAGTCACCCTTGGCGAGATTTTAAGTCCATGGATAGAATTAAATAAGTTACAGTTATAAAAATGATAAGCAAATAGTGCCTACTCCCAATGTTTGCTGAAGGGCTATCTAGAGAAATTCAGAATTTTAAACTGTAGTGAAGTGTAAAAGAAAAAAGACCTCCAACCTCAGAAAACACAAACTTGTCTTTTTCCCAATATTCTTTGTCCAGGACATCCCCAGTAGCTGAGTGGTAAAGAATTGCCTGCCCATGAAAAGATGCGGGTTCTGTCCCTGGGTTGGAAAGATCCCCTGGAGAAGGAAATGGCAAACCACTCCATATTCTTGCCAGGAAATCCAATGCACAGAGGATCCTGGCAGGCTACAGTCCATGGGATCGCAAAAGAAGCAGACACGACTTAGCAACTAACCAACAGTTCTTTGTCTGATTCTCTGCTTAGGTACACATTTCTACAACTTAACAGTTTCAGGTACCCAACATCACAGGCTGTTCAGCATGAAAATAGTGATTTAGCCAAAGTCATCCTATGCTGAGCTCCTGACAAACTCAGTTCAGTTCAGTAGCTCATCATGTCCAACTCTTTGCGACCCCATGGGCTGCAGCATGCCAGGCCTCCCTGTCCATCACCAACTCCCGAAGTTTACTCAAACTCATGTCCACAGAGTCGGTGATGCCATCCAACCATCTCATCCTAGGTCGTCCCCTTCTCCTTCCGCCTTCAATCTTTCCCAGCATCAGGGTCTTTTCAAATGAGTCAGTTCTTCCCATCAGGTGGCCAAAGGATTGGAGTTTCAGCTTCAACATCAGTCCTTCCAATGAAGATTCAGGACTGATTTCCTTTAGGATGGACTGGGTGGATCTCCTTGCAGTCCAAGGGACTCTCAAGAGTCTTCTCCAACACCACAGTTCAAAAGCATCAATTCTTCGGCACTCAGCTTTCTTTATACTCCAACTCTCACATCCATACATGACTACTGGAAAAACCATAACTTTGACTAGATGGACCTTTGTTGACAAAGTAATGTCTCTGCTTTTTAATATGCTGTCTAGGTTGGTCATAACTTTTCTTCCAAGGAGCAAGCGTCTTTTAATTTCATGACAGCAGTCACCATCTGCAGTGATTTTGGAGCCCAAAAAAATAAAGTCTGACACTGTTTCCACTGTTTCCCCATCTATTTGCCATGAAGTGATGGGACCAGATGCCATGATCTTAGTTTTCTGAATGTTGAGCTTTAAGCCAACTTTTTCACTCTCCTCTTTCACTTTCATCAAGAGGCTCTTTAGTTCTTCTTCACTTTCTGCCATAAGGGTGGTGTCATCTGCATATCTGAGGTTATTGATATTTCTCCCGGCAATCTTGATTCCAGCTTGTGCTTCTTCCAGCCCAGCGTTTCTCATGATGTACTCTGCATATAAGTTAAATAAGCAGGGTGACAATATACAGCCTTGACGTACTCCTTTTCCTATTTGGAACCAGTCTGTTGTTCCATGTCCAGTTCTAACTGTTGCTTCCTGACCTGCATACAGGTTTCTCAAGAGGCAGGTCAGGTGGTCTGGTATTCCCATCTCTTTCAGAATTTTCCACAGTTTATTGTGATCCACACAGTCAAAGGCTTTGGCATAGTCAATAAAGCAGAAATAGATGTTTTTCTGGAACTCTCTTGCTTTTTCGATGATCCAGCGGATGTTGGCAATTTGATCTCTGGTTCCTC